AAAATGTGTTGTGTTTTTCGCCTCAACAGACATATAAGAACAGAAAATAAAACTGTTTTCCAATATTAAACTTTCAACATCCAAACCGTACAAAAACAACTCAAAGAACAATGCTTTTGAAAAAGCATGTTACGTTATACAAATGGTGTTCACTCACGCATTTTGATTAACACCTTTAAATAAAGCGTCTTTTCTAAAACTACAACACCTCCCCGCTAGCCTAAAACTTCCATCTTAGGCGATCAAGTTTATTGTTTCTTTAAACGTCTTGATCTTCTTGGCTTATCCCGGCTGTACTCGGTACCGGTTGGCATTCGGGGGTTAGGTCTCTTGGGTTTAACATATGGTCCTGGATCTGCAATTCTCAATTTTTGACCATTTTCAACGTTCGTTTCTTTGTGTGTTGCCATCTCTGATATACCGGCTGGAACTGCAATGCTTGGTGTATCCCCCGGCTCAGCATCCTCTACTGAGAAGTATCTCGGGCGTAACTGCTCTACATGTCTGCGCCAAATGGGTCCCTTTGGATAAACCCTGACAGACACAGTCCGTGCTCCTTGTACCTTAGTAATTACTGCTGGTACCCATCGTGGATCTTTATCTCGTCGAGGTCCACAATAGAGAGCATAGCAAGGTGTACCCACTTTGTATTGTGGATTAAACCTCCCAGCTAGCTTTTGCGCAGCCTTCACTGTTTGCTTATTCTGACGTCCTTGTGCTTGATGCGCAGGAGAAGGAATCAGGATATCTATCGGTGACCTGATTTGGCGTCCATTGAGCAGCTCACTGGGAGAGTAACCACAAGCTAGTGGTGTTCTCCGATACTGCATCAAGAACTGCTGAAGGGCTGCTTTCAAAGGTAATGTTGACTTCAGCATCGACTTCTTGAAAGTCTGTACCAGTCTCTCAGCTGCACCATTAGTTGCTGGGTGATACGGAGGTCCTGTTAAATTAACGATCCCTCTTGCCTTGGACCATTCCTGGAATTCTTCTGAGGTAAAACTTGAAGCATTGTCCGAGACGAGCGTATGTGGATAACCAAAGTGTGCAAAGTCCTGTTCCAGCAAATCAATGGTTGCTCTGGAACTTGTAGTGCTGGTCTGGTGGATACACGGATAATTGGAGTACGCGTCTGTCAGCAACAGCCAATTTGATCCCAAGAAGTTAATAGCGTGGTCTACGTGCAGGCGGCTCCATGGTTTTTCTGGGAACATCCAAGGATGAACAGGTGGTTTGGACGGGAGATTTTGGTGCTCAGCACATGCTTGACAAGCTCGACTAACATCAGCAATACTCGCATCAATCCCAGGCCAATAGACAGCAGTCCTGGCAAGCTGTTTCATGCGTTGCATGCCAAAATGTCCTAGATGAAGAATCTCCAGCACTTGTGCTTGTAGACTGACTGGAATCACCACACGTGCTCCGTAGAACAAGCATCCATCAGTTACCGACAGTGACTCGCGGATTTTCTTAAAAGCATCCACTGTATAGCGCGTGCTTTCACTGTCAGTGCTATCTTCGTGTATCTTGCTGAAAGGCCAACCCTCTCTTGTATACCGCACTACAGTTGCAAGTACTCGGTCTTTATCTGTCTCTTTTGAGAGTACACCTGGATCTGCTGCGTTGAGCTGTTTGCTGACAGTTTTGATGGTACAAATGCAATCTGCATCAGCATCACTTTCTCTTCCGTCAAACTGCGCATCTGGTCCCACCGGAAGTCGACTAAGTGCATCAGCATTTCCGTGGTCCGAAGTCTTCCTATACTCGATGGTATATTCGTATTGACTCAACATCAGTGCCCATCTTGCTAGACGGTTGGCGGCTAGTGATGGCGTTGCCTTTGTAGGACCAAATAATGTAAGCAATGGCTTGTGGTCCGTTATTAAAATGAATTTCCTTCCATAAAGGAAATGATGGAACTTGCTGAGAGCAAATATAATTGCTAAAGCCTCTTTCTGTATCTGGCTATAGTTTCGTTGCGTCTCAGTTAGTGTTTTTGATGCATTGGCTATTGGGCGCTCTCTGCCATCTTTGTAACGGTGGAAAAGTACAGCGCCAATACCAACACTTGATGCATCACATGCTATTCCAATGGGTAGCGATGGGTCAAAATGCGCAAGAACTGTATCATTGCACAACATGGTCTTGACTTTATCGAATGCTGTCTGTTCCTTGGCACCCCATTCCCATGGTATATCTTTCTTTGTCAGCCTGTAAAGCGGCTCTATAAGTGTTGACAAGTTAGACAGGAACTTGTTGTAGAACTGTACTGATCCTGGAAATGATCGCAGACCAGAAACATCATTGGGTGCAGGCATCTTCAAAACAGCATCAACTTTAGGACTTTTTGCTATCCCTTTGCTGGACAACAGATGTCCCAGGTACTCGATGTATGGTTGAGCGAATGAGCACTTTTGGAAACGACAACGTAGTCCCTTTTCACTCAGTCGCTCAAACAAACTTTTTAAATTTGTGAGGTGCTCTTCTGCAGTTGATCCGCTGACCAGTATGTCATCCAGATAAACTGCAACACCTGGTAGGTCACTTGTTAGTTGATCCATTATTTCTTGGAAATATCCAGGTGCTGAGCTTATTCCAAATAGAAGGCGCATCTGAAGCAGAACACCTTGATGTGTACTCAACGCAAGCCTTTTTTGCGATTCTGGGCCTAGTGCAATCTGGTTATATGCGTCAGCTAGATCAATCTTTGTAAACCCATATCCTCCTGACAACTTTTGCATCAGGTGTTCCGGTGTAGGAATTGGATGTCGGTGCGTTTCTAATTGTGCATTGACAGCAACAGAGTAATCTCCACAAACTCGTAGTTTAGATTTTGTCTGTCCCGGAAGCAACGGTTTACGGATGGGTACCACTGGTGTACCGTACTCATTGAACTGGATTCTTTGCCAAACACCACGCCTGATTCCCGCCTCGTATGCTTGAGCTAAATCTTCCTGAAGCGCAAAAGGAACTGCTCTTGCTTTGCAAAAATTTAGTTTCGCATCAGGTTTGAATTTCACTTCCAGTTCAAAATCTTTCAGTCTCCCAAGCTCCGGCTTGAATAGATCTGGAAATTCTTCACATAGCTTGCGACATTCAGCTTGTAATTTCCGGTCAGGTTTCAAATCTTCAAATACAGCATGACACTGTGCATGCGCACCACTGTTCTGTTCGATGAGTGTGTCAACTGATATTCCGAGCTGCGCAATGGCACTCCGTCCAAGCAGGTTAAGGTCAGGTAATTCGGTTACATTAAATCCCAGTGACTGTTGATTGTAATTTTCGGTTTCCGCTTGTAACATAACAGTACCAAGAACTGGTAGCTTGTGTTGACTTGCTGACTCAAACTGCTGACTTGGTGCTTCTAGGATGGGTTCACCTAGCTCCTTCCATGCAGTTTTGCCAAGAAAATTATCTCCAGCACCGGTATCAACTTCAAAATTAACCATATGCTGGCCTTCTAGCTTGATTGGTAACTGAAGCTCAGGAACTTTAACTTTGTTGACCGTGTTTGTTTGCGAGATCGAAAAAATCTTTTTTAATTTATTTCTTTCTCCCGTAAGCTTGGCACTTTCTTTCTTTTTCTTCAAACAGGCAGCCTCTATATGCCCAATCTTATTACAATAATGACATGTAGTGTTCTTAAATCTACAATCTTTTGGGTTATGACCAACCCTGCCACACCTAATACATTCAATAAAAGAAGATTTAGGTTCAGACGAGGAATACTTCCCTCTCTTTTTCGGTTGAATCTTGTTGACTTCTTGTCTTGAAATTTGCCCGTGAACCGTTTCCTTGGCAACTTTAGCTGCGTCTTCAATTTCAATTGCCATTTCTATAGCTCTAGCAAAAGTAAGATCGTCATCTTTTACTTTAAAAAGGGCCTTTAAAACCGCTTCATTGTTGATAGAGCAAATAAACCTGGTTCTCATTGCCTCGTCCAAAGAATCCGTGATTGATGTAAAATCACAGGTAACAGCATCTTGGCGAATCCTAGCGACTAATTCATTTACTGTCTCTCCTGGCTTTCTATCCATTTTACTCCAAAATTTGAATCGCTCGCGAACAATGAAACGCTTCGGATGAAATTGATCCATCATAAACTCTGCTATATTCTCCACACTAAGCTCGTTAACATCTTTTGGTGGCGTTTGTTGACTGGCAAGATT